GCCCGGTGCGTCGGATGCAATATGGCACAGCAAGCCACACGCTCGAGATGTCGTGAGAAGAGGCGTGAGTACGGCATCACGACCAGGCGACGCGACGCGACAGCATGGAAGCAACGGAGGTTGGACCCAGCAGAGAGGCGCCATGCAGGCACGGGGATGATGAAAGATGGTCGGAGGGTCTCGTCAGAGATTTCCATGTGTCATTGGTGGTCAGGTGGCCTGCGGATTGAATTTCCTGGGGGTAATCGAAACGCCAGCCACGAGCCACGTGAAGCCAATTTTCTGCTTTGCTTCGCCGCCCCAGCAAACCCGAGCCCGCCAAGCCACCGTGACGTAAAGAGAACCTAACCTCACAACCACTTTCCATCGCAAAACTATACGCGTGCGACGTGCTGCTTACTGCCCTATTGGCTCGGTTGGGCTGTGAAGTGATCCTTCTAGCTCAGAGCCATGTCGGCCCAGCGTCCGAGTCGTTGGCGCTTGTGCATGGACCTGGGGAAGACACAAGACGTCTGACTAACAATGAACCACGGTGCTCTTTGTCCAAATAAATCTCTGCGGTAGGTGCTGCCTGACTATAAGAGTCCCGGAGTGCCTTTCACTCTGGAATGACTACCTGACCTTGCCACCTAATACATAAACCCACGGATCCCTCACCTGCTCTCACACCACAGACAACGAGTCACCCTACCGTCACCACCGTCAATCATTCAATGCACATCAACGACTTCCCCTACGAAGTACTCACCCAGATCCTTGAGGAGGTCACCAAGGCCAATATACGTGATGGCCCCACGTATACATTTGGTCTCCAGCAGGCGCCACTGCCTCTCGAGAGGGCCAAGCTCCAGCGCTATGTGAGAGGCCCGGTCCCACCAGAGCTCCTCAAGTGGGACGCAACTGCCACTCTGCGATCGGTTTGCTGGAAGTGGCACGAGTGGGCTCTGGAGCATTCCATTAAGGACGTCTACATCCGTCGCTGGAAGGGCGGAGAGGTAAGCACGGTCGATGTACTCTTCCATGAACAAGATGCTAACATTGCATAGCGATGGGCTGAACTTTCCAACAGGCGAGAGAGCTACCCGTTGTACGAGCTCATTGACCGTCCAACTGGCACAGCTGTCTACCGTGACCCGTTTGCCTCTCTCAAGCGGACCGTGAGCATCTGCAACGACTACCCACAGGTGGCCGCCAAGATCAAGCGCATGTGGGTGCACGGCTTCTACACCGCCGAGACCGACCGTCTGGTATTTCAGTCGCTCAAGAACTGCACCAACATCACCTCGCTCTCTCTTCCATGGACCACCATCCGTCACGTGGACGCCAAGGCGTGGCGGACTGTGCTCACTGGTACCGGCAAACCACTCCAGTCGCTGGAACTCCAATGTGTCGACCCGACTTCGCAGCAAGCAACAGACAAGGATAACATCGTTGACCTGGAGCCACTGCAGTCGGTAAACTTCAGCCAGCTGCGGCGACTGAAGATCTTTGGCGACACTAGCTTCATGCCCATCACCGACGATGATCTTTTCGCCATCGCTCGCACGGCCACGCAGCTGGAGGAGTTCCACTTGACCTGCAACTCCTCCATCACGATCGATGGTGTCATGGCCATTGTCAAGGCATCTCGGAAGACGCTCCGGGTCCTTGAGCACAGCCCGCGGTCACAGGATGGCTTCTGGCACCCGCATCCTGGATCACCGAGCGACTGCGAGCATCTCTGCGACACGTTCCGGAACTGCCCAAGGCTTGAGACCCTGTCCATCTCTCTTCCTTCCGTGTGCTCCCATCTCTTTTCCAATGACAATGCGAAGTTCGCAGGTGACCTGCAGGTACGTGCTCTGCACTTATGTGAGCACGAGGACGGCCGCTCCACTCACGAAGCTACCGACGCCTTGCAGAAGCTTCTTGAGCAAGCCCGTCGCTTCATTCACCTCCGCGCGCAGAGTGCCATTCCTCGTGAATTGTACGTCGAGCTCTTCTTCGCCGAGTGCATCTTCGAGCCCGGCTTCCAATCCGTTCATGGCGACTTTTCGCTGGCGCAGGTCTCGTCTGACGGGCACTGGCCACAGAACGTCGAGTTCAGCGGCAAGGGACCCTACGGCAGCACCGGCCTCTACGGAAAAGAGGAGGAGGCGCAGTTCCAGCGCATCGACGAAGCCGAATTCCTAGCCGGCGTCCGCAGGAGGCTCCTCTCCATCCAAACCTGATTGTGGATAAAACCACTGATAACGGCCGACTTCACTTCAACTGTAACTTTTTATTGTGAACCTGTACTTACGAAATTACGACCACATGCATGAGCGACAGGCCTGGAGCCAAAGAGATACCAGGCTGGAGCAGCCACATTGTATTCATGCATTTGGGAAATTCATAACAAGAACATGGCCATGTTCCGAAAAAGCGAATACTGCGTATTGATTACTTGGGATGGCGGGGTGTCTATTGCTTTTTTTCCACCTTGCAGTTTGTTAGCATTTTAGCGTTCAACCTTCAAATCAGTATAATGAATCAAGCTTCACACTCATCTGACAATCTTCCCATCACGCATCATCTATGCAAACAGTCTTTCGCGCATGTTCGATAGAGGAAACTTGCTTCCACACCCGATCACGAGAATAGCAACACACGATTGATAAGAAACTTCGCGAAAGCTCCAATTTTGCCAACGGGTTCCACACCTTGGCGATCAAAGACCAACACCCCGCACCTGCAGTCCACGCACCCACACCCTCCCAAAGCAGACAAGCCCAGGTACAGCTTTCCGCACTTTTTGCTTACACACCGCATGGTCATCCGTTATGTACGCCGGAAGTCAACCTCTTTCTCTATCCGAGCGATGGAGCTTACCAACCTAGAGTAAGGTCTCAGTCCCGTACACGCCGAACACCGACCGATTATCTGCTGAATAAGAGGCACGGGAGCGCGGAAGATGTCCGCCCCAGCGAAAAGTACTTGCCGGGCCCGGAATGGTGGGTTCCTCTGCAATTGACTCGCGATGCAGCAGGTTAGCCGGAGAGGAATTTTGCCAACAAACGTACCCTTTCCCCAGCGAAACAGAAAAAAACGAATTGACAATCTCTTACCAAAGGCTCATGTAATCATCGGAAACGCGCAGACGCTACTGCACCGGGTATATATGTGGGGCGCTAACCGTCGGGTCTTTACTGAGAGTGGTATAGTGAGGAGCGCTATGAGGGGCAGAATGGCGCAAAGCAGTTGTTTACAGGACAGCTAGGTAGCTAAGCTTGCTCGGTGCGATTGGGCCGGTGGATGATGTAGTAGCCATGGCATGATGTATTGCGAGATAGACACAGTCTATGGGGATCGAAGACCATGGACAAGGGGTCTGGGTTATCTCATGCACCATGCACATGCCTGCCTCCGGTGGTGCTGGTGCTGGTGCTGGGTATAAGTAGAAGGTGCGTACCCCACCCCGAAAGCTCTCTTCTTTACTTCTTCACTACATACTCATCTCTCTCTCATCGTCTTACTCTACTCGTTCTTTTTGATACCCCCCCGGAAGTTATTCAAGATGGCTCCCAAGATCGCGATCGTTTACTACTCCATGTACGGCCACATCAAGAAGATGGTATGTTGCGATTGTGTTGAGATGGGGAGCTGTTGTTGGTTGCGAAACGGCTCCCCACTCGATTGATCCCTGGTTGATTGAGAGCTTGTGCTAACAGAGTTGAATAGGCCGATGCTGAGTTGGAGGGTATCAAGGAGGCTGGTGGTGACGCCAAGCTCTTCCAGTATGTATTCCCTTCTTCATACCCCTAACCCCATGATCTTCCTGCTGGCAATTGCATTTGCAAATGCCAAATTACCGTATCCCATCTCTCCCAAGACCACCAACTAACCCACCCGCAGAGTCGCCGAGACCCTCCCCCAAGACGTCCTCGACAAGATGTACGCTCCCCCCAAGGACGCCTCAATCCCCACCCTCGACGACCCCGCCGTCCTCGAAGAATTCGACGGAATCCTCTTCGGCATCCCCACCCGCTACGGCAACTTCCCCGCACAATTCAAGACCTTCTGGGACAAGACGGGCAAGCAATGGCAACAAGGCGCCTTCTGGGGCAAATACGCCGGTGTCTTCGTGTCAACCGGTACCCTCGGTGGCGGCCAGGAGACCACTGCCATCACCAGCATGAGCACGCTCGTGCACCACGGTTTCATCTACGTGCCGCTCGGATACAAGACCGCGTTCAGCATGCTGGCCAACCTCGATGAGGTTCACGGTGGTAGCCCTTGGGGCGCTGGTACCTTCTCCGCTGGTGACGGTAGCAGGCAGCCCTCTGAGCTTGAGCTTAACATTGCCAAGGCTCAGGGTAAGGCGTTCTACGAGGCGGTTGCTAAGGCCCACCAGTGACTAGATGGCGGAAAGACTGCTGGCGATGCTGTGGGTGAGAAGAGCGTGGAGGGTGTGAATGGAACGAACGGTAGTACTGCTGCGGCAGCGCCTGCTGCTACTTCCACTCCTGCCCCCGCTGCTTCGTCATCGCAGCCTCAGCAGAAGGGGCCGGAAGAGAAAGATAAGGAAGGTCCGTGTGGATTGCCTGCAAAGTGCGATATCATGTAGACGTTTTGTCGTTCCGCTTCTTCCGCTCCCTTATTTTCCTGTTAGTTAGACAGCTGCGCGACGAGATAAATGAAATAAAGTAATACCTGCATCAGTTTAGCCATCGTAACTTGACCTATGCTGATCGATTTCACTGTCCAATCCGTATGTTGGATAGAAACACATCGCCTGAGTTTGAAAGTGATCGTCTAGTTGTAAAGATTGACATTTTGCTTACAGTGCAATGGAAATCGGAAAACGTTAGTGAAGAAAACATTGGGTATCATTCTGTCCAAGTACTATCGAATATCTAGAACCAGACTGCTGAATCGAAAATCTATCTCATAAGACCTTGACGAAGTCCTTACCAAAAGAAACGCTCCGTCTATACCAACCCCAAAGAGAACGCCAAACCCCTTATCTCAGTCAGATCTCTCTACCTATCTTTCTTCTCCTCCTCCCCTTTATCCTGCGGAACATGATCATGAATGAACTCATCCACCCAGTCCTTCACACCATCCGCCTTATGCGTCAACCACTCCCACCAGCTTTCCTTCTTGTTTCCCTCTCCCTTACCCCCATCTTCTCCACCTTCACTCTTCTCACCATCTTTCAACTCATCCTTCCCACCACTCGGCGGCGTAGGTCGACTAGGCACATCCTCCAAACTCGGACTCGTGTCTTCCAATCCAGACGCTAACGCCGCGATACTGGAGAGAGAGTTTAGGTCTGTTGCGGGCATGGATGCGAGGTTTGATGGTTGTGCAGAGGGGAGTATGGTGGAGGAAGAGAGGGTATAAGAAGACACAGGATCTTCGGGTACTTCTTTTTCGTTGCCAGCAACAGATTCTTCGTCGGAGTGCAAACCGACGGGTTTCAACGGTAGGCGCAAAGTACCGTTGTTGGGCGCGGGGTTGAGACCGATGGAGTCGCAGACTATGTTGTAGAGTTCGATGTTTTCTGTTGAAGTGGTGTTAGCTTGCTTTCTTTTGTGTATGCTATGAATTGTGTGATGGATGAGATGAAGACTTACGGAAAGGTTCCATCCTACTTCCAGCTTCATGCGGGAACGCAGGACCTCTCGCGATGAAAACAGCTCTCATAAGCGGATGTTCATGATCGTATCCATGGAGTCCCTTCGGGTGATACTCTTCACCCGTCTTCTTCCCCACTTCGACGTTAAATTCATCTTTCGTTACAATCGCCCAGCCTGTTTTCGGTACGATCCACAGCGGAGCGATCCTGTCGTTTTTGCTGAAATGATAGCGCTCCGGCATATTCTCATCTCGCAAGTAGACATCGAGATTGGGGTTATCCTTTGTACGTTCTAAGAGCTGGTTGTAAAGACGATGGAGCGAGGCTGGGTCTTTAGGACGAAGGCCATAGAGCGGCCAACCGTCTGTGTGAGAGAGTTCGGCGGGGTCGATGAGGTCCTCGAGCTGAACCAGGCGGGTTTTGTCTGTTGTGGCCATGCCGTGGTCTGAGACAACGATCACATTGACGATGTTTGTTAGGTTGCGTGCGTGTAGACCGGCTAGGATGCCTGCCATCATTGTGTCGGCGTTGGCGATCGTCTTGCGGATCTCAGTGCTGTTGGGTCCGAAGCGGTGGCCGTCGCCGTCTACGTCCGGGACGTATGCTGCAATGAGCTGAGGTCGCGGTGTATTTGCGCTCGCGCCGATGTCTTTGGGGCCGGGAAGATCGAGGAGCTCCATTATACGGTCGACCTTTGTAGGCAAGACTTCTGAACCGTTGTACTTGTCGATGTAGGCAATCTCTTGGTTCAGGATATGTGCTTCTGAGCCTGGCCACATGTGGACTGCTGTCCTAACTCCTTGCTTCTCAGCTGTCACCCAGAGAGGCTCGCCGCCCCACCAATGCGGCTGTAGACTGCGCTTTGGATCCGTGTAGTAGAACTCCTGCTCGAGTTCTGGGTCCCAGAATGTATTTCCTACTACACCGTGCGCCTCGGGATACATGCCCGTGGCCATTGTGTAGTGGTTTGGGAATGTGACACTGGGGAAACTAGGCATCATGTACTTTGGCGATATCCCCTCTGCTACGAACTGGTTGAGCGTAGGTGTGAGGTTTCGGTATAGGAAGTCGGCGCGGAAGCCATCGAGCGATATGAGGATTGTGGTCGGCGCAAAGAGTGAGGTGCCATTGGAGAGCATGGCTGCGGCTTCTTTGACATCTTTCGGGGTAGAGAGGTTGTACGTGGCTGCGAGGAGAACGACGAAGAGGACGATGATGGATACGTATATGGCTATTCGGCGGTATAGACTCTTCCTGCGTACCTGCAATATATTAGTTTCATTCGCGCATCCGTAGACTTTACACACCTTCCTCTGCGACTCGCTCGCAAGTAACCGCTGTTCATCGCTCAACGAACTTCTTCCCGATCGGAAACTCGTACTCGAAGCGCCAATACCTTCTTCCATTTCGTACATGAGCGCGCTCGACTCTTCATTGCCGCCTTTCCTGCGCTCCTTCATCTCCTTCTTCTTATCCCACTTCCCGACCCTGACGCTCGAGGCTCTGCGCCCCAACAAGCCCTTGCCACCATCTTTCTGCGTAAGAAGCCTCTCGCGCTCGTCTTCTGAATCTAAGATATCATGGTCGCGTTCGTCGAGCTCGCCAGATGGTCTGCCATCGTAGCCTTCGTCGTCGGAGGTGTGGTCGTACAGGGTGCGCTCGTCGGTGCCAGCATCGGAGCTAGGCACCCGTTGCGATTCGTTGTGCGGTTGCGAAGACATGATCGCGTCTTCAGGCGATATATTACATAGCTAGGTGGAAAAGAAACGTTGCGCCGCTACGGTGCTCAACATGTTTTGGGGGTCAGCGACCCCAGACGTGTCGCTTGGCATCCATGTTTCACGCGTGCAGGACGGTTATGTCGGTCGCGTAAAGGCGCTATTCGGTAATTTACTTTCACTAAACCTCCATCTAAAAATTGGGGTGAACAGAACATTTGACTTGACTTTGTGCATGCAGCAGATGATAGATTATCCAAGATCGTACATTATGTCCGTTACTCAAGATTCGTTCATGCCATCACCAAGACCACGTCACGGCCGGCCTTCCACTTGAGACCTGCGCCGGCTATCTTCCCCTTAGAGCAAACCCACAACAACAACCACATATGCTCTGCAAGCTCTCCCCAATTAAACAGCTGCACCATCCCAAGAGTTTCAGAAGTACCCTTCTCTCTGTAGAGATATGCGCCCCAGCCGAGTCTGCCATCTTTCAGCGGTTCACACACGCCATCCCAAATGTCTTTCTGAGCCTGCGCAGGCCAAGCCGACAAGTCAATGAGCCAATGGCCTCTTTCATTGCCCACTGGATCGCGTGACTTTCCAACTGGTTTGAACTTGCCTGGATACTGTTCCTTGAGGGCTTCCAGATAGGGTGTTACCTGCCGAGGCCACGCCTCCGGACTCTCTACACCTATCTTTGGTGGTGGAGATTCAACTATCTCCGGATAATCGGTGAAGTCTATGGGCGGACCGGAATTGTCGATTTTTTGCACCTTGTTGTTCTCACTGGCTTGGTCTTCTGCTAATGGGGAAACTGGCTTTGGCACATCGGATGAGCGGAAGCTTTCTTGCTGAGTTGGGACGACGCTGCTGGATTTGGGATGCACTTCTGAGGAAGCAGGCGTCTTGGCTTCTGATATATCGCTACCTATCTCCAGGCGCGTACTTTCCCGACGATTCACATCTGCGAGAGGTACCTGGGGCGAAGACGTAGCGCTAGGCGCATCCGGCTCTTCTGCTGTAGCGACAATCGTGGGTTCCGTTGGCATAGCAGGCGACGAAGAAGTCTCCTGCGTGATGTCTCTAGCGTCCGACTCGTCTCCGGACGTGTTCTCGGAAGTCATCGAAAAGCTATCCTGCAATTGACTCTGTAATGCTTGAACCGCAGCTTGCGTATCCTCAATAAACGCTGTATCAGCATCCTCAGGACTGCTAAGAACATCTTTTATAGACCGCCGTTTGCTAGCAGCGCTTGACTTGGGAGTTGCTTGCGCTTTCCAGTTTTGATGGATACGTTCTAACCGCGCAAGCCGACTAGACGTTGGCGCAAAGTCGTCTTCTCCCACATTGTCAGACGACGCGCCGACGTATCTTTTGGGATATTCATCGGAAGATAAGTGAGATGGGAAACTGCCGTAGGAATCTTTGTTGGTCGATAAGATGGAGGTGTTGACGGACTCGCGAAATGAATTTCCTTTGTTTGGTGGCGAAGGGTCGCTCACTCGGGAAGCACCAACTTGGCTCGACACATCGTGTTGTGGTGTCTCCTCAACGTTTTTTCGATGTGGTCTAAAGTCGAGATAAGCGTCGGCCAAGGAGCGGTAAAGTTGGTCGTTTTGTCGAGTAGCCGGAGCGGAGATATGAACCAAAAGCTCGTGTTCATCGTCCATAGTTGAGTACGAACAGGTAAATCTTGAGTTTTTCAAAATCCATCGTAAGAGATATATACAAAAGCGATCTAAGTAAAGCGCGCACGGATTGTTGTTGCGTGAGAGGACGGAATAGGTCAAGTGTAGACGAGGAAGGGTTCAGCGGGTTCATTGACGCGACTTGGCAGGTGCGAGTAAGGTCTGTGCACTTTCTTACCAACGCATCACCATAGTTGTTAATTCGCATGTGAACGAGTCTGGCAGTTGAAAGATATCTCTCACACCCAAGGTTCACATCACCAAATATAATCGTTCAGCTTCAGGACATCATCGTCCAGCGTCGTCATTCAATGGTATGTCGTCTATCATGCATGCTATCATGTAACCATCCCTACGGATATCGCTGAAGAAAAGAACCGCACCCCTTTTTGTGACCCAAAAATTACTCTTCGTCATCCTCGTTCGGGGCCTGCATCTCCTCAATATCCTCCTCCTCGAAAGTGTGCATAGGTACTGAGTAGAGGCGGAGAAGAGACTTGTTGGGGTCCTTGACCAGGACGTATTTGCCCTCATCCATGCGAAGTACCATATCAACAATGGTACGGACGATAGCCCATCCGTTGTTGAGGTTGAGTGCCATCTGGGCGGCGAAGTCGCGGGGCTTGGCTGTGAGGACACCGAGGATGACGTGGTCGTTGTTGTTCTTGGGGTTGGTACGGGAGACGAAACTGTGTTGATGTTAGTTGAGTCGGATGTAGGAATTCGAAAAACATACCCGAGCTTCATGGTGTCGGCCTTGGCCAAGATACTCTGCGTAGTCCATCGTGCGAGCTTGCAGGAGTTGTTCTTCATCTCGGTGGCGAGAACAGCACCCCTCTGGCTGGCCAACTTGGACCTCCAGTCGAGCGCTCCACCAGCACCTTGGGCCTTGTTGTCGAATTCGTTGAGAGCCTTGATGGTCAGGTACTGGTCCTCACCGTTGATGTTGTTCTTAACAACAGCGTCCAACTCCGTTCGGACAACCAGGTGCAGAGGCTCCTCGTCCTTGTCCAGAGACAGATCGAAGCGGCGGTACCTGTAGGCCTTGGAGGCTGGTGGGTCGGTCTCGACCTCCTCGTTGTAGAAGGGATGCTCATGGGGCATGCTGACCTTCTGGCTCTCGGACTCGGTAACGACCTGGAGGGGGAAGATGTTGTTGATGTGTGTGGCTTCCAGCATCAGAGCACCAGGGCTGTTGATAGAGTCCTTGTTGCCCTCGGAAATCTCAAGCGGCGCGTCTGCGGCGTTCTCGTTGACAGTGACCATGTCCAGACTTGAGCCATCGCGCTTGTCAATGAAGACCTTGTTGCCCCGCTTGGTGAAGACCAAATCCCAGGAGTAGACCGACTTGGTGGCGCACATGAGCATGGAGAGGACACCATCGGTAGCGAATACAGTGCCCTCGTCCTTGTCGGCGAGCTCCTGCAGGATAGGATCGCTGGAGGTGGTGACATTGTAGGCGGCACGGTCGAGGACGTTGAGTTTGCGCTCCGAGGTCCTGGCACCGGGCTGCTTGTCGTAGCTGCGGTCGTAGTAGTAGAGGAATCCGTAGTTGTCGATGTCCTCGCCCTCGTGGGTGTCGAGGTTGAGCTTGCTGAGACGGGAGAAGTCGATCTCCTCCATAACGTTCCATTCGGGCTTGACCTGCACGGAAGCGTCACGGTTGCGCTGGGGCTTGTCGTCCCTCCAGCCAAAGCGACGTCCTCCCCTGCCGCCACGTCCACCGCGCTGGTTGTCGTACTGGTTTCCACCACGGCCACCAACACGCTGGAAGGTGCCCCGCCCGCCGCGTTGCGCCTGTCCACCTCGCGCTCCTCCACGTCCACGGAAGACAGTGCCGCCGCCTCGTCCGAATCCTCGGCCGCGTGCTGATGTGCGTGTGTTGTCGACGACGGAGAAGGTAGCCTCCTCTTCGGCGGCCTGGATGGCGAAGGGGTTGGTCTGCTGGTTGGCGCCGTATACCTGCTGGTCTATAACTTCCATTAGCATCTATCTTCTTTTTCCTTCACCATCACCAAACATACCCCTGTAGTTGCGATTGCCGTATTGCTGGCGTCCTCCCCGCTCGCGGTCCTTGCCCTCAGTCCAGTCGGCCATGCGCCCCAGCTTGTCCGCCTTGGAGTAAGGCGCGAACGGCACGCCGTCGAGCATCGACTCGCTGGTGACGGGCGGGCCCCATCCTGCAGTGTCGGGCAGCGCGGACACGAGGTCCAGTAGTGATGCGGGTGCCATTTTGTGAAGTTGCGGTAGTGCTGGGCGCTCGTTGTTGCCGCACAGAAATTATGTGGGCAGTCAGATTCCGCGCTAACGAAACGAAATTCCAAGGTTCCTACCCCGCGCTCTCCTTCACTGAGCCTCACCATCACCATACAGCTCCGGCAGTGCGTCGAACGCCAATATCCTCCTGCAGACCAACAGCGCTTTGACGATATTATCGAACGGTTAAAGACAACGACGTCTTCTCGTTCTTTCCTTATCAGGTTCATGTACTACCTTGGACTGCTCTTCAACTTAATCCGTAGTTCTGTCCTTGCGCTACCATACACACACCCACAGCTTCTCTCTGTTCAGCCTTCCAAGCACGATACGCACAATTTATTAAGTCTCTTAACATTTCTTTACTGGCCATGAGTCCACACAGACCGATGGCGTTCTGGTGAGGATGATGCACAGCGCAGATACCACATCCACCCATGTACTAACCGCGATCGGTACGTCGATGCCTCCTCTGGCTCGATAAATACAATATTGCTGCATCCAATCATGGTTCTGCTGGTAAGTGCGGGGGTTCATGCGCCTCACACGCATCTGATTTGATATTGGCGTATAGCCACAGCTCCATGAGCCAATAAGTCCCCTGGTTTTTCGGATCCTCCTACGTCATTAGAAACCGGTGAGTGAAGCAGAAGAAGAACAAGTTTCATGTCCTTCCGGAAGCGTCTTGGCGGCATAAATTGACAAGCTCAGCGTTAAGAAGTCTGAATCTCTTTCGGTATGTTGAAACACTGACTTGAGTGTATCGGAACGTCTACTTCCAAGTCCTTCCCAGACTATTATAAGCCACAGTAATTTCATTCCTCTTCTCGATGCATTCCGGCCCATCCATATGCACAAGATGCAGTACGAGCCTCTCGACAAGACAAAGAACGAGATTCGTGTTCTCGAGTTTCTTGATCTTTCCAGTCCAGTCTCAACTGAAGACATCATCCAATGCTCTATCAGGAACGTATCACTACCGAGCTCTTTTGACTCCCAAATGTATCAGGAAGACCAACAAGACCAACAAGACCGGGAATTTCCGACAGCGTGGGATAAATTCACCAAGTCCGTAGATCTGCGAGACTCAACCCTCGAGCAAAGGACACTTGATGCGGCCACGCATGCTCGCTTGCATCGGAGTCTCCCTCAATGCAGCGACTCTCGTTACAACTGGGGAGATTTTGAGGCACTGTCATACACATGGGGTAATACAGGCGACACAAAGACTATCCAAATAAATGATGTTCGTAAAGACGTCCCACGCAATCTCGAAGAAGCCTTGAGAGCGTTACGAGGTCTGGAAGAGACCCTTTCTGGTATGCGCTACTGGATAGATGCATTGTGCATCGACCAGGACAATATCGAAGAGCGGAATGAACAGGTCAAGCGCATGAAAGAGATATACGGTCGAGCTAGAGCTGTGATAGTCTGGCTGGGTCGAGAGGAGGAAATGGATAGTATCACAGTTCAGAGAATGCACAGTCTTCTTGTGGGAGAGACTATAAAGCCGGTTCAATCCGAATGGCCCGCCCTTGCCGCTTTTGTACAAAAGCCATATTGGAGCCGGTGCTGGATCATGCAGGAGCTCGCAATGAACCACAATTCGACTCTTTTTTTGTGCGGGGAGTTTAAGCTGACGAGGAGAATCATATTCAATGGCGTCCCGTGGAATTTAATTAGATACCGTCCCCTTGAGGATAGCGACGATCGATCCGACCACAAGTTGCAGGCCGGTGCGCAATACATGGCTCTCCACATGCTGAATCTCCTTGGGCTTACCTCTCAGACCGATATTGAATTCAAGTGCACCTCTATATTGGATCTTGTCCGCCGAGCCGACGCAACTGATGCGAGGGATAAGATTTACAGCATACTCGGCCTGTTGGATCCGGCTATCTCCACAGGTGTCACACCGAACTACTTGCTTTCAGTGCAGCAAGTCTATACGAACTTTATGAAGTCTGTCATCAATGCATCGAAAAAACTAGACCATGTCGTCACTAGAGATATCTCAGCTGAACAAGGGTGGCCCTCATGGGTACCTGACTTGAGGAAGCCATATCAACGCCACTACCTCAAACATTCCCCATACCACCTAGCGAGCAGAAACATACCTGCTAGATTCAGGTTTATCGAGGAACAAAAGGGTCGTACCTATCTTGCATGCAGTGGATTCCAAGTCGATACAGTCGATGGTATCGCAGCCGAGCCGACTCTGGATTCTCATGCTACGCAACCAGGTACCGTCTTTGATAGATACAGAGGTCAAACACGCCCAGCAATCGAACGCACCTTGAGTATGGGCGATCCTAGGATGTCGATGGACCGACTCTTCGATATCCCGTGGAGTTGGAGTTGCGAAACCGACGACAGCCTGGCTGGCATCCACTCGAATCCGTGGTTGCTCAAAGTCTCTCGATCCAGATACTTTGAACGATGGGACAAGTTCAGAAGACACAACGAAGACTTCTGCATCGGCGGCACGAAATTTCGAACTTTCTTCCCACAATCTGGCGGGTGGAATTTGGATATCGCGGGTACCCTCCAAGACGTGTATATCGCGCTACTACTATTAGATCATAGAGCTTTGATAACGACGAGAACGGGTTATGTGGGGTTGGCTCCGGTAGAAACTTGCCCGGGAGATGTTGTTGCTATTTTGCTCGGCTGTTGTTGGCCAGTTGTTCTGAGGCCGTGCGATGACGGTCTCTACCAACTCATTGGAGAATGCTACATCCACGGGCTCATGGAAGGAGAAATCTTCGATCAGCAGCAGGACGAACATGTATCAGAACAAGAATTCATCTTGTGCTAGGAAGAAAATATAGAGCGCTGTCATCTCCATCAATCGCTATCACTCTCCGGATCCAACTTCCACGCCTCCCCCTCCTCAAACACCACCTCACACCCCCGCCCAATCAACCCCAAAGCGCCCCAAAGCGCCCTCTCAACCCCCTCCTGTCCCTCCCCTCTATCCCGCGTAACAACAACGCACCTCTTCAGCCCCTTCATCCAATCCAGCCCATATTTCCCCATCTCCTTGACATGACCCGCCGTCACCGCAGCGGGTTGGAAATCCAAGCGTATATTTTCAACCCGATTGACATAGTCACGCGGTATGCCCCTGACAAAAGAGGCGATAGTCTGAATGAATTGGAACCCGAACGTATTCAATCGCAAGATGAATCCAGCCGTCTCGGCATGTACTTGTCGACACACCGTCCTTCTTGCGAAGAGGTGGTGGATTGGATACCGCTGAGATGGGGGTTTCGGGTAACCGAAGGGTTCTACGTGGAGGCGGAGGCGAGAAGAGTGTGACTTCCAGACGGTGAAGACGGTGATGCATTGTTCGGTGAAGGCGTAGGTGTAGACGATATTTCTGATTTCGCCGGGGAGGCGGAGGAGAGGGGAGTGGAGGCGATTATGTGTGGTGAGCGGACTGTTAGCGGCTTCCGATGACAAAGATTTGAATATGTGATATGGTACGGGTGTCGTCATCGTACGTACCGGGGTGTATCGACATGGAAAGCTCGATTCAATTCCCATCTACATAGATAGGTAGCAAAGCTATAAGACGTGTGCTTCGCATGCTTGCTTGCTCCAAACACCTCAAGTGAAATCAAGTGGAAACACTCATCGAGCAATGGACATTGAACAGCTTCAACTTCAGATCTTCATATCCATTACTTTGTTTTCAAGCCTCAGCTCTACATCTTCTCCTTCCCCTCCGCCTTTGTTACAACATCCCCTTCTTCCTTCTTTTCTCTATACAAACGTTGTTGAAAACGCGATTAAAAAGTCTACTGATGATGAATAAGTTGGAACAAGCCGGAATCGCAACATACGATCCAGCATTGCTAATTACAAGGCTTAACAAAAATGTGTATATCCAAAGCAGGTCGTCAAAAACGTCAAGTATACGGTCTTTGTCGGATAGTCGTGAAGTATCGCTTGCGCTGCGATGCGTTGCGATATGATGCGGATGAACGCTAAAGTCGATGGAGACGCGCCGCCCAGTCTATGCGTGTCGAAAGGTTTTCGTCGTGGTGGCGCAGGTTTTCGTCCAGTGTCAAGGAACAAGTTTAGTCGGTTCGGCCCTTCCCATCAACAACCCCATTCGCCCTCCCGTTCTTCTCACTCGTCTTCTTGGGAATAGTAAGACAGTTGATGCCGAGGTAATCGCAGATACTCGTAATAACCAAATGCGCCCACTTGCCGTATACAACAGCAGCGAAGACGAAGTAAGCGCGTAGGTACCAGAGTTCGAAGCTAGCGGAAATGGGACCGAATGTCGTGCCGGGGATGGTGAAGTAAGGGTGGTTGATGAGCAGGGCGCCTCCGATCATTGGTGCGAGCATGATGGTCCAGTAAGGGAATGGCTGGTGTGTGAGATGCGCAAGGATGATCTTGGTGGTCATGCGTCCGAAGACTAGTGACATGGTCAGGCAGTAGAGGACAAGGTGGTTGTCTTCTAGGAGCTTCGAGTAGGGCGATCCGAGCCAGGCCATGGTGGAGACGATGAAGATGACTAGCGGTGTCCATTCCTTGAGCAGGGGTAGCAGAGGCTCATTCCTGGAGCGACGCGCTTTCGCTACGTTGACGATGCAGGCAGGGAGGTGGGCGGCGAAGAAGGTGAAGAGGATGATGGGCACCCATAGTTCTTTCAGAGTTACATCGCCGATTTCTGCTTTGTAGGATGGGAAGTAAGTCGCGAGGGGTTTCGACCAGATCTCTGGGCCGAAGTAGCCGGACATGCAGATGAACGTGCATGCAAGGATGAGTCCCTCTGTGAGGAGTCAGTAATTTCCACGCCAATCAAGCAGCTAACGTACCTGTAGGACCGTTGAAATAGCCCAAATACAGGGTATGTGTATGGTATGTCTCCCAAGTCGAGAAGAACATGGGCAACACAGGGATCAGCGCAGTAAAGGCGCCAATCTTGGTCGAGCCGTATCCAACAGCCGCCGTCTCGAGGAGACTGGCCAAAGTGCAGTTCAAAGAATCAATCCCATGGCTACGTTACAATCAGTATCGTGATATTGGCGCATTGGGCTGTGTTTATCACGTACTCAAAAAGTTCTCCCAGCGGGCTCGAGGTGCCGGTTCGGCGCGCTTGCTTTCCGTCGACGTTGTCCATGGTGGAGTACCTGCAAGGGATTAGCGCAGCCCTCACTCCCTTGTGCTGTTGTGTTTCTTACATCCACATGCCAAAGGCGAAGCTGTAGTATACCCATGAGGGCGCTGGTCCGACCAGATCCGGGATGTAAAGCTCGAGCAGCACGACGTTGCCCAGGATGAAGAAGAAGCCTAATAACGTGACGAGGTTCGGCGCCAGCCACAGCGGCAGCAGTTCGACAAAGGCATTCCACTATGTTCACGTCAGGGCGCGTTGCGATTGCGCGGGTGCAGGGTGCGTACGTAATGCTTGAGGATGTAGCGGGAGATGAAGGATTTGTCGACGCTCGAGTATTTGTAGGTCCTGAGGTGTTGCAGCGCATCTTCGGAGACGCACTCATGCCTCGCGGTTTCTGCGCAATTAACCATGTTAGCTGGATGCGCGTCGGTGGATCGTCAAGGGGGCGTACCTTTGCTCGGCGGCATGGCGGGATTGTGTGTGACGGGGTGTGGGAGAGACATGAGTTTGGCGGGGCGGATTAATTTATATAAGGGTCGTGGCCATGTGGTGAAGCGGGGAATATGCGCTGCAGGTGCCGCCTGTCTCTTGTGGGATGGGATGAACAACGGGATGGCTCTGGCGGGCGTCAAACTTCTAAAGGGTACGGGTCCGTCGGCTCGGTAGAGCCATCTGCAAGGGTTGGTGCCATGCGAGATTGCACGTCATCGCTTGGCTCCAATCGCTCTTGCACGTGAAGATCACAGCCCGGTCTGGTGAGAACATTGCACAGTATAAAAACAAAGTACTTGAGATGCTAGTCTGAGACTGACGCGCAACGCAATGGGTTATCATTAGATACAAATGCCAACAGAACAACTGCTGTACAAGCTCTTTACACTGAGCTTTGCCATGTGGAGGCTCACCCTGCCTTCCGCTCACTCACTCAAAACTTCCAAATCTGTACCTCAACTCGGACGGCGCGTCAACGGGTGTGGGCGCCTGTCGTTCCTTCAAAGCAGATCCGCGTCGGTCATCGTTCTATGATTCCGCAGCAGCCTTCCTCTGGTCCTCTTCCTTGCGCATGTCTTCCAGGAATTTCTCCCACGTCTCAATAGTGCCCTGGAAGAAGTCGACATGCGCATCTGCGAGATCGCCCAGGGTATCTTTGAATTCGACCGCTTTGATGCGCTCAAAGTCCTGTACCTCCTTGACGGTGTGCTCGTCAAAGGCCTCGCTGTTTTTCTTAGCCAGCTCAACTTCGCCCGTGAGTCGCTCAATCTCAACTTCCAGCTTGCGGACCCGTTGCCGACGCGCTTGGTCGTGATCGATACCCCGGAAGTCTTCTACCTTGGATCGCAGGAAGCCAGATGCACCCATGCCGGCCCCTGTCGCGCTAGCCAACGAATCCCGATCCGCGGCAGATTTGGCAAGGTACTCACTCAGCTGTTCGAAATCGAGCTGCTTGGCTTCTCGTGTGCGGAGTAGTGTCTTGACGGCTTGGATGTATGCGTCCATGTCGCGCAGACTAGTGAGGTAGTTCTGGTCTGTGTGGTCGCGGATAGACTTGAACCCCTGTGAGGTGGTATTTACAGAAGCAGCGAACGACGTCAGGTTCCCTTCGACCGCAGGTTCCATAGTCGTCAGCTTTTGGCACTGCGTCGCTAGATCGGCGTAGTCGGTCTCCAGATCACCCTGTCGCCTGGCTACCTTGACGGTAACCTTCTCCACATTGTTCAGATCCTCGCCGAGCTTGTTGGCACGTTCGACGACTTCGATAAAGCGCTGGTCCGGCTTGTGAATCTTGCTAAAGGTGTTGATGAGGCTTTCTGTGACAGCATCCACGAAGCCGCCGCCGCCCTGGTCGGAGCCGCTTGCAGCTCTTGATGACCGTCCCTTCATGTGTTGATTCCAGTCCGGGCTCTCCAGGAAGTTGATAACCAGAGCCGCTCTCCGTAGCACTGGATGCAGTGATATCCGCTTGAGGAAGCGGTGCAGCGAGTGGGCACGTCTCTGCATGAAGTCCGGACCAAAGCGGTCTCCACGCACATATTCCATCTTGTGCTTGTCGGGCAGCGGCGGGACGGCGCATTGCGGGTACTCTTTCGAGAGCTGTTTCCAGAGGAAGACGAAGTCTGTGAAGCGGCGGCGGACGGAGAATTCGGGTTTCTGGAAGGACTGGAAGTCGGACTGCGGGGATGTTTGTTAGACCCCGAACACGTAGGAATAGTGGAGCTGCAGCAAGAGGCACACCTTTGTAGTTACTAAGTACGAGACATATTGGTTTGGTGTGCCTGGCAGCTCTTTCTGCGGGCTGCCGACAAACGTCTCCAGGCGCCCTTCGCTGAAGTCGGCCGCCATTGCGCGTCTACGGACCTCCTGCGGATCGCGGATGTATATGAGGCGGCTGTTCTCAAGCTCGTCAAGGTCGCTAATCCGGTCGTATTCGGGGTCGTCGAGCAGATCGTCAAACTGGTACGGCGGGCTTGTTGGCGTGGGCTGTGTTGGACAGCTCGGAGGTGAATCGGTGACGTCGGCTGGGTACCCGGGCTTAGCGCCCTCCAAGGTGGGCGCACGATTCCTGACGCGCTCGTACATGGCTTCAAAGTCGTCGGCGCTCCTATAAAGCGAATGAGAGTCTTTTACAGCGACCATGATATAGAGAGCGAGCTTTGCAAGAATGATTAATAGTGTATAACGAGTGCAGCTAACCGCCACAACCATGGAGGGTCACCAAGCATCTACAGTGAATGGAGAAAGTGCGACCTGTCTAACAAACGCGCAATTGCCGCGTCCACACCGAGATGCCGCCAAACATAGCCCACCCTTGTGAGAGAAAACAGAGGTATCGTAAGTGACCTTTAACCAACCAAGACCTAATCCGAGACATGGAAAACACATCAATCGTCGTGGGCGCCGAAGCGCTTGCTGAACTCTTCAAAAAGCTGCGGGGTAATTTCGTCGCTGCTGTTCCCGTTGACCGTCCAGAGCACGCCAAGCTTGTCGTAATGCTCCAGCAGAGGCTCGCTGTGTTCCTTGAAGTTTTTCAACCGCGCCTTCCACACCTCTGGGTCATCATCCGCTCTTTGTGTCAGCGGCTCGCCCGTGATATCATCCTTGCCATCCACCTTTGGCGCATTGAATGTGGTGTTGTAGACACGTCCTGATGCCTCGTGTACCCAGCGGTTGCATATGCGATCGATGATGATGTCACTCGGGGTGTTGAGGTTGACTACCATGTTGATAGGTACGATGTTGTCGAGTTGGATCGCTTGAACGGCGGTTCGGGGAAAACCGTCGAGTATGAATGAAGCCGCTGGCCTGTTGGAGAAGGTGTAGCGGGGAGCCCGTACCGCCGAGGGGATCATGACTGCATCTACCGTCGTCTCTGGCACGTCCATGGAGCTGAAGTTGAGCGCGTATGGCCGCAAAGCGTTGTCTCGTATCCAACCGCGGTTCGTGAGTTCGTTGACGATGAGGCGCAGGATCATGGCGTCGGGTACTAGTTTGCCAGCCTTCATCGTGGATTCGGCGTGTATGCCTGCGCAAGTCAGCATTTTTCGGTGTGGAGAGAGCAACGCGCATACCGAGAGGTGTCCGCTCGCGAACATTCTTCCTCAGCAAATCGCCAGAGCTGATTGACGAGAGCTCAGGGAATTTTTTCATCATGCGCTCCGTCTGAGTTCCCTTCCCGACGCCAGGCGCGCCGACCAGTATGATCCTGGCGGCCTTGGACAACCGTTGGACAGTCATTGTTGTGATGTGTGTTGTCGCTGATTTATGCTATAGAGGCGATCTAGAAATATGCTGCTAGGTGTAGTCCAGGTCGGTACGGTGAATAAAGCTCGAGGGCTCCGCCGAGGGCTCGTAGTTACTAAAACAAATCCATGGCGAAAATTGTGTGGAATGAAATGGAGGATCGGAACTAGGGTACGGAGAGAAGTGACAGGAGGAATTATGGAGTGCCCAGACGCGGAACCTGGGTTAAGATGGGAGAGGGACGATTACCGTCGGATAGGCGTGGAGTGAGGGGACGGCCCAGCATTCACGGCATGCCATTCGCAAGCCGCGCTGTCGTTCTTGCGGACATCGGAGACCCCAGCGCCTCGGCCAATTGGCGACAATATGCCGACATAGAGAATACCCATTGGTCCTTCAACTTCTCTTCGTATAGATCCGAGGCACACATGTTGCTGCCTGTAGCGTCCCATGGCGCACATGTCATGCGTCCGTCCGGTATCTTCCTAGCTGTCACCATGATGCGCGTCAGGCGAATGGCTTATGCGCCCGTTGGTGGCGACCAAGCTTTACCCAGCAGATCGCCCGGCGGTCCCTGAGACTAAGTCCGAAGACGCAACGTCAGAGGAACCCATTTTCTCAGAGCTGCATCACTCCACACTCCTTGCATCAAATTCCCAACACACACACACAGCCGTCTCTTTTCTACCCTTCATCTGTTGATTCACTACCCACACTACTTTAATCGTTGTACTATATACGTCACTCCCTACACTTCCCCCGGCGCAATGTACGCCGGTCGCACTGCCTCCAGGGCAGCGCCCGCAGTATTCCGAGCGGGCATCAGGACCACTACCAGAGCTCATCGCCCTATGCTGAGGAACTCACCCGCGATTCGCATCCTCATTCCGCTACGCGCCCTCCAAACTGAGTCGACATCGAACAATGCGCAAAACTACCCGCCTCCTGGTTTCGACCCCAAGCAGGCCAACCAGCACCTCCTCAAGCCCCAGCAACAATCAAAACAGTCCGTCGAGAAGTCAGACCCCATCATCCCCAAGTCTGGCGCAACCTCCAACCCGAAGACACCCGCGCAAGATGTCCAAACATTGAGCGAGCTGAAGATGGACAAGTCGGCTGCTGAGTCCAAGGACGAGAAGAAGATTCTGGCCAAAAGGGACGCAGAGAAGAAGAAGTTGACCGTCTGGCAAAAGGTCAAGAAGGAATTGGTCCACTACTGGGATGGCACCAAGCTGCTGGGCTTCGAAGTCCGGATTAGCTCCAAACTCGCTCTCAAGATGGCCGCTGGGTACGAGCTTACCCGCCGTGAGCGTCGACAAGTACGTGTTTGAAGCCAGTATTCGTGAACTTTACTAACAGACCTAGTTGCAACGTACCGTACAGGATCTGGCCCGCTTGGTGCCTTTCCTGCCCTTCGTTATCGTCCCCTTCGCCGAACTGCTGCTCCCTGTAGCGCTCAAGCTCTTCCCCAACATGCTGCCCAGCACGTACGAGGGTCAGTCGGCCAAGGACACCAAAGCCCAGACGCTCCGAGCGACCCGAAAGGACGTTAGCGACTTCCTTCGTCAAACACTCAAGGAGACTGGCCTGCCTGTCTCTGCTGAGAACGCGCAGACGGAGGAGTTTGCCGAATTCTTCCGCAAGGTGCGCACCACGGGAGAGAAGCCAACACCAGAGGAGATCATCAAGGTGTGCAAGATTTTCAAGGACGACCTCACCCTGGACAACTTATCTCGCCCTCAGCTGGTTTCCATCTGCCGCTACATGAACATCACCTCTTTCGGTACAGACAACTTCCTGCGCTACCAGGTCCGCGTGCGCATGCGCCAGATCAAGCGTGACGACCGAGCCATTGCCTACGAAGGTGTTGAAAGTCTCTCCGTTCCCGAGCTCCAGACTGCCTGTGCCAGCCGCGGTCTACGAACCTATGGTGTCTCTCCTGGCCGGTTACGGGACGACCTCACTAGCTGGCTCGATCTCCGCCTGAAGCACGGCGTTCCATCAACTCTTCTCGTACTCTCCAACGCATTCGTTTACGCCCAGGGCAAGGAGACCGAGATGACCTCTCAAATTGATGCTTTGGAAGCCGTCCTCTCCAGTATCCCTGAGGAGCTGTACCACGAAATGGATCTCGAGGTCCGCAACGCTGAAGGTGCCGCAACCAACAAGCAGCGTCTTGAGGTCCTCAAGGAGCAGCAAGAACTCATCAACGAGGAGAACGAGCAAACCGAGACCGTTGAGAACAAGGCCACAGCCTCGCCCAAGGACCACGAGGACATCGACGAGAAGCCTGCCCGGGACGCACAGGAGGCAAAGGAAGCCAAGGCTGAAGAGGAGAGCAAAGAAGCCGAGGCCAGCGCTGGTGATGCCGCCGGTGGAAGCGCCGAGCGTGCCGAACAGGATGAGCGCGCCTTGAAGATGGATGACCCCACCGGCAAGGGTGAAAAGCCCGCTGAAGCGAAGAAGGAGTAAAAAGAAAGAAAGGTCACCCATCAAACACGACCTACTCTCTACTTTTGTTGTGTATAGCTACGAAATCTCTTGTCATTGGCGTCCAGAAAGAAAGGTCTATAGAAAATACCCTGTTCCGATATTGTTGGATGGGAAGGACTATAGAATTGTATATCGTATAGAGATGCGAGATCATGCTCGCAAGTATAAAGCTGTTGAATGAAAGTTATACATTGATCTCTATCTCGTGTGGTTAAGTGCTGTGTATGCCTCGAATGGAACCAGCAGTCTAGAATATTGACGTCACTTGCACATCCCCCACCCCCCACCATCGACGCCTCGATCGTACCTCAATCAAGCTTTCTGCCAAGCAACACGCATTAACTTGGCAGTGAACTACTACTCTTCTTACTGCTTCCCTTGTAATAACTCTATCTGTTTCCTCTTATTCTTGGTCGTTGGAAAGGAGAGCATACCATCAAAATGCCAGACGCAGCGCAGATCAACCGCTCCATCAGTACTATCAGGACGGAACTAGAGTATCTCGTCTCAAGTGGTGTTTTGGCCCCGCCGCAGTTGCAGTCCATTCAGGCGCAGTTACCTGTACGTATGCTTTCTGCTACATCTTTCCTACCTTTGTCTTGTCTGCTTGTCTCATCATCGGGCTCAAGAAATGGAAGAAGAGAGTTTATGAATGCAGACGAAGAGCAGATGTTCACTGATGTGTACCCAGCAACCAAACGGCCAACCCTCCCAATACATCGATCCCAAGTACGTAGATGGCGGAAACCAGTTCAACCCCGCGTTAGTCGCGCAACAAGCGCAGGATCCGGCGCATCCGGCGAATCCGAATCATCCAAAGGTATGCTTTCATATTCCTAAATTCAATGCCTAATGCTACATCAAGACCATGAGTTTGAAAGGCAAGAAAGAGAAGAGGGAAAAAGTCTGCAAGTGATTTTTGGAAGTTAGGGAAGCTGACTGGAATATAGCACCACGAATGGGCGAGTAAGCTAGCGCATAAATTTGGGAATGCGGCGGTTTATGGGGCTGGAGCGACGTTTGGTGCGGATCTGGTTAATGATGCTATGAGGAAGTTCTGAAATGGAAGAGAGATATAGATGGGGTAAGATAGGTGCTCGTTGGTACCGAAGGGAAAATAAGTGGACTTCTTGTGCCTGCTATTGGGTACGGATATCTATGTCCTGCCTTCCAATACACAGCTGTTGATTCGATGATTTGTAGTGATACTTTGGTACTGACTCACTCCGAGAAGTATGAGTCTGGCCACCCATGGATCATGCTCTTGGGACTATCCTCTTCAAAAAAAAACGTGCTTCTCACATAGGGTTATATAGCTTTACATCTCAATCCCATTCCTCCATACGACTTTCTCCCCAATCTCAACACCACTATCATGTCACCAAGAACCTCAAAAACCATCTCCGCCGCCCACCTAGCCATCGCCGCACAGAACCAACTGAACTCCCCCTTCCTCCGTCTCCCCAGCGAAATCCGAAACCAAATCTACTACTACGCCCTAGGCGGCCATGAAATCTACCTCGTAACCCATCCCACTAACGAGAAGAAGAAACAACTAGGATGCCGCCCACCCCACCAAAAAAAATGGGAAATGCATCCCATCCCAAAGAAACTAGCCATCAACCTCCCACTCGCCTGCCGCCAAATCCGATGTGACCTAGGAGCCTACTACCCTTTCATCCACAACACCTTCGGCGCAACGGTACTCGCGGGTTTCCATTCCATGCTACACAGGTTTACGATTGGACAGAGGAACAGGATTGAGCTGATTGTTACGGACCATGAGTATTATCCGACGGGGAGATGGCTGTGGATCCGGGAATATATCATGCTTTGTGGACTGCCGAAATTGAAGCTGGTTGTATTGAGGGATGTTTCTGGTGTGGGGGAGAGGGAGAGGGAAGGGATACGCAGGACGTTTTTGGAGGAACTTGGGGATGGTGTGAGGGTTGTGATTGTGGATGATAAATTGGGGGAACTAGCTCTATAGCGGGACGCCTACTTGAAGAGGGACGACAAGAACGATTTCTTTGTGAGATCTTGGATATCTGACTAAACTCACTCTATTCCGTTATCAAAATGCCCTAATTACCAGTCACGTACGACACAGTATACCCATTTCACCCCATCTACTTACTACCCATCTCAAGACGCTGCTCCACGACACTAACCCTCCCACTCAAATCGCGCTCATCAATCTCAACGATAGGCCCATGATACGTCTTCCTCGCCCAAACCGCATAGTAAACCGCACTGATGACCGCTATCGTACCCGTTACCAAAATCGCCCAGTTCATATTCGCAGGCGTAACCTCCGCAAAGCTAGGCCAGAAACTGAAGAAGAAAACAAAGCTAAGATAGGCGCAGGCAAAGACATTGTTGGCGATACCTATCGCGCCGGGAAGACGCCACGGGCCCCATACAGCGCGGACCATGCCGTCGCTGGTCGTGGACTGGCTGTCTGTGTCAAAGGATTCGCTGGGTGGGAGAATGGCGCCGGTGCAGCGGCGGTAGAGGAGTAGGGAGGATGTGAGAAGGTAGGAGGAGAAGAGACCGGCGATGGCGACGGAGATTACGCCGTTGAAGGCGGTAGTGGATCCGATGTTTACTAGTGCGAGAAGGCAGGCGATGAAGCTTGTGAAGGCTACGGCGTAGACGGGGATGGATGTACGATTGCTGACCTACTTGATCTTAGTACTGCTTATATTTCGTATGCAAGGCTTTCTAGTGTACATACCTTGCTCAAGGTTCTCCATCCAGGTAGACCACGGTCTCTAGCGAACGCCCAGCAGATTCTTGATGTTGAAGCGGAGAAGCCCACGTTCGCACTAATCGTCAGCACCATGACGATAGATGCCATGACGGCAGCGCCGGAGCGTGATTGGACGGCACGGTGGAAGATAGCCATGAAAGGGAACGCAGGGTTCTCTAGAAGTACAGTGTCGAGATCGCCCATCCGTAAGAGCACGGTGACCATCATGACGAAGCCAAGAGAGCCGTTGATTGCGATGCCAGTCATGATGGAGCGAGGTACGACGATCTGTGCGTTTTGAATCTCCTCGGATAGCTATGATGATGTGTTAGTGTCTTGCTGAATAGCCGAATGCTGGAAGTTGATCTAAAGTAGGCAGACACTCACATGAATCGGCCCATCACCGCCAACAAACGCAAAGACACTTCCCATAATGCCAATACAAAAGCTCAATCCCTGAGTCTGCCAATGTCCCATGTTTACGAACGTGGTAAAGGTCTCTTTCGCATTGCCCTGTGGCCCAAGAACCAGCAAAGGAATTAAGATGGCGAAGAAACCAAGGATATGCAAGACCAATAGCGCTCCTTCGAATTTGGGTAGTAGCCATCCAGCAGCAATGTTGATAAAGACGCAAAACGCGATGATGGCCCAGTAGAGGAGAGTGACGTGCCAGTTTTGAGGGACGTACGTATCCGGTTGGCAGAGCATGAGAAGGCCTTGAATGAGGCCACCAGTGAGGAAAGCGCCGGACCCGAGTGATGCTAGCCAGCCACAGAGAGTGAGCCATCCTGCGGGGATTTCGCGTTAGCACATTCCATCGATAGAGATCGTCGAGTTTAAGGTTTACACACCTGAGATGTAACTCAACAGTTTTTGAGAGCTTTTTGGTGCCAGCATGGAAACCCAGTGGTATTGACCACCAGATGTAGGTGCCCTTTGATGAAAGTTAGCAATTGACTCAGCGTCAAAAGACCCGGCTTCCGATCGTAACTCACATTGAAACAAGCTCGCTGAGCACCATGAACACAGATACGGTGCCGAGCCATACGATGAGGTAGCCATAGATGACACCAGCGGGGCCGCCACTGCTTCTTTCAGCACAACTGTCTCATGGTCGATGTGTTGTGTCATGCTGTGTACTCACTTCTGGAAGCCGACCAGGAACAGCCTGAGAAACTGTCAGCGACGTGTCAGCGTGTAGTACGAGGTAGTACAACATACACAAGAGATCCTTCCCAGGTGATCAAGACGGTGCAGCTGAAACCGAGGATAGATAGGAAGCCGAAGCGACGCTGTACTTGCATCAGCCATGTTCGTGGTCAATGCAGAGGGATACATACCTTCAGCACAGCTTTCTTCCCCAGCCTCGCCAGAGCAAGATCATCGTGCTTGTCGCTAGAACGTGGCCTTGCGGTATTTAGTTCCGGCTCACTGGATTTAGTCGAGGAGAAGGCCATCGTGCCACCAATACGAGTACAAGTGAAAAGTCGATACAGCAATAAAAGCGGAACTCGTGAGACGACCGATGATGGAGGAGATGAAAGAGAGAACAAGCAGAAGGATAAAGAGAAAGAACCGAGTTGCCGTTAGAACCAAGTAGCCGCATAGATGAAGAACTAGGGCCGCTTATGCACAACATTGTAGCCGAGATGATCCTCGTAATGATCCTGACCGTTGACCTATAGCCTGTTCACCAATAGGATCGTAGCACCAGTTGTCCCAATCCGGAAGACCTACTGGAAGATACCTAGGCGCATATGCTGCGTGCCGTGCCACCTGCACTGCGAAACGAGGGTACAGCAAGGGTGTGCGTCTATGAAATGCCGCGCCGATTTTTGCATGTGTTGGTTTGTGCTTTCTGGACTGTGTTACATACTATAGATATAGATTTACTGCAGTATTGTTGTAGCCGGCATGCGGGCTACTGGTTCTACTTGCACTGCCCAACTCTTCGATACTTGGATGCTCCTATCCGGCCCGCTGTATGAGGGTCTGGAATTTTCGGAGCGTCCCGATCGCGATATGTCCATGAGTTGGTATCCTTTGCTGTCGTCTTTGGAGGTTTGCTCTCCTCGACGGCGCAGATCGTCCAATCGCATGAGTCCCGACTCAAACCCCTCCATGAAAAGCTTGGTATACGGAAGACATGTAGTGACGATAGCAAAGCATTGCACAATCTGGTTGCAGATAGATGAGCGCCAGTAACCGAGTGTTAGATCGTCTTTCAAAGCGGAATTTGTGCTGTCGCGATTGAAGAAGCTAAGCTGAACCGCAGCAGCAACAAGAACTCTTGTGTAGCTTGTCAGTATTTGAGATACCTGTAGGGCTTCGTACTCACAGTAACCGACATGAGAACAAAGCCATGACCGCCGCCTTCCGTTGCCGTCGCATGTGAAGTTGCGCCGTTATGCCCAATTCCAAGGCCACGATCGCGAGCTCTGTCATGATATTGAAGCACGAGACGGTATTCCACCAGGTCAACTGCCTAACGTCAGCCAGAAGCCGACTACGCATCTGCGTAGATTACTGACACGGTCGATGCACCGATCCAACGTTCTATCCCATGGTCGTGGCAGCCGGCACTCGAATGCTGCGACCAACACAGAACAAACCAGCCACAAGATTATAAGAGCCAAGACTCCGAAGTTGATTCTGCGGTGGAGTTCGGATGGAGTAAGATGATGGACGAATGCTACGACAGCGAGCTTCGAGAAGCCGAGGGAGACAATGAAGAGTATCATTGCGGCATATTCGCTCTTCGCTCATATCAGCGCTTCGGACCAGGTACTCAAGCGGAGGTAGGAGGTTACTTTGAGATTCGACTCAATCTGATATCCACTCAAAGTCGCGATCGGTTTCCCGAAACCGTAGTGTGCTTGCAGCAATACAGCGACAGATTGTGCGACACAAAATATCTGGCGATATTCATTAGCAAATGTTGCTGAGTATGTTGATGCTCCACTTACCAAGGCTGCAAGTACCAGCCATGACTCGATCGTCAACGTCCGAAACACGTAGAACTTGATGCCGGCATGCGTCAAGAACGCCAGGAGACTGGTTACGAGAGTGAACCAAGTGATGATCTGAACGATGGGCGTCCAATTCAAGTCCGACACAATGACTTGATACATCGTCTTAGACATACGCTAGAAAGGCTGTTGAGC